TTGAATTATAAAACACATGGACGATTTACCTCGTTTGTTGCTGCTACTGCTATTGTAGACATTTAAAGACGGCTTATTTCAGACTTAACTGCTATGAAACATTTGGTTGAGAAAAGCCAGCACTAAGAGAGTATCTCCCATGTCACTCCTATTCCATAGAAGAATTTACCTCAACCAAAAATTCTCATCTACTATACATATAAGGAATAGTGGTTATGCTTTTGGTGAAATTATTTTTGTGGTAGTACCGTTGACTGTAAATTACTGTTATAACTATGTAATTTATATTTGTATTAGAAACAAGTACTGTATTTTTGCTGTGACATGTTCTACGTTCTTGGCTTAGGCCTATGCAAGATCTATGGAATAAATACATTCTATTCCATTCTTATTTTGTTGAATACTTTCTTGATTTCCTCCTAGTAGCACAAGTATGTATTTCGTAACTCTACTCAGCTGGTTCCATTATCATGTTCACAGGAGATTGATATTTGTCCACATCTTGAGCAAAATCCAGTCTGTAGTACTTAAGATTCGTTTTAGTATTATCCTTCCACCTATGCTTAGGTCTTCTCAGGGGTGCCTTGGTTATTTTAATATACTGTAGTTTCTTTATACCTATTTATTTTATTTTATGTTGGCATTATTTCCCATGTTCCTCTTAAGTACAAGTGGGTGTGGTGGGGTGACCAAAAAAGTTGGCACTTGGTGATTTTAATTTATTTTCTTATGAGAGTTGGCTCAAGTGTTTTTCAATACTGTGCCAATGTGACATTTTCTTGTATGAACTGAAGTTTTTCTAAGGTATTGTAGATGCGTTTTTCTGTATGTAAGGCATGATTGCTCAGTCAGTGGGCTAGAAATTAGATGGGTGGGGTTTGATTCCTGACAGGAGAAATGAAATTTATCTTCATCATCCAGAACGGTCTTAACATCATATTTTTACCAGGAACTCTGTTTCAACAATAAAGATGGCCATGACATGAAGATGGACTACTTTCTTAGTAAGTCGTCATTTTATGGTGTATGATAAAAATGGTTGTGCCTCGAACACATTTTCTTCTTTTCAGGTATACAGACATCACAAGATGCTAGATTTTATGCATTATCCACAAAGTTCAAACCATTTAGCAATAAGGAAAAGCCCTTAGTTATCCAGTTCTCGGTGAAGCACGAGCAGAATATCGACTGTGGCGGAGGGTACGCAAAAATCTTTGACTGCAAGCTGGATCCAAAAGACATGCACGGAGAAACGCCATATGAAATTATGTTTGGCCCTGACATTTGTGGGCCAGGAACAAAGAAAGTCCATGCCATATTTAGTTACAAGGGCAAGAATCTCCTTATTAACAAAGATATTCGCTGTAAAGATGATGTTTTCACGCATCTGTACACCCTTGTCGTGAAGCCAGACAACACATATGAGGTGAGATTTGAAAATGTTTCACTGTTATTGTTAATGGTTGAATTCAGTCATTTTTTTTATTGTAATGTTTCAAATGCCATGCTAATGTCAATTCCTTTTAATCATTTAGTTTAAAAATGTTTCTCTTTTTAGTTTAAACTACATCTGGGTTATTTTCTTAATGGTGCCACCGACTTTAAGCTTAAAACAGATATTATAAAGGAATGTTTTACTGTAATCTGACATCTTGGTTCAGGTTCTGATTGATAACGAGAAGGTAGAATCAGGGGAGTTGGAAGCTGACTGGAACTTCCTTCCCGCAAAGAAAATAAAAGATCCTGAGGCTAAGAAACCCAGTGACTGGGATGACAAGGCAACTATCGATGATCCAGATGACAAGAAGCCGGAAGACTGGGATAAGCCAGAGCATATTCCGGACCCGGATGCCAGTAAACCTGAGGATTGGGATGATGAGATGGATGGTGAATGGGAGCCACCGATGATCGATAATCCAGAGTACAAGGGAGAATGGAAACCAAAACAGATTGACAATCCCAATTACAAGGTACTGAAATGTCATTAGGAATATTTAATTTACGTGTACCTAGCTGTAAATGTCACATTCTATCGGTTGTTGCAGGGTCCCTGGGTTCATCCTGAAATTGACAACCCGGAATACTCGCCAGATTCTGAATTGTACAAACGCGATGAAATTTGTTCTATTGGCTTTGATTTATGGCAAGTGAAATCTGGAACAATCTTTGATAATGTTCTTATAGCGGACGACCCTGAATATGCCAAACAAGTTGGAGAGGATGTCTGGAGGCCTACCTTCGTAAGTATTGCACCGCACACCAATGAAGAATAAACTGGTATACTTTTATAACAAGGCCGTGAAATTTGTGGGGGCTCAGTCATGTGGGCTGAGAAATATTTGAAACTGATGGCAGTGTAAGTTTGATAGACAAAATTCAGCAGTATTTTTATATATTTGGTTTACGGACGCTGCCAGATTTAGCTTTTAGCAGACCCAGAAAATATGGTAAGATATTATTTGGTTTTATGTTTAAATACGTATGTGTAACAAATTTGTTTATTTTTTCATAGGAGGGTGAAAAGAAGGTGAAAGAAGCACAAGATGAGGAGGAAAGGAAGAAGCGCGAAGAAGATGCCAAAACTGCTAAAGAAACTGAAAATGAAGAAGACGATGATGAGGATGATGATGACGAGGAGGAGGATGAAGATTCCACAGATGCTGGGGATGTTGAACCTGGAGAGGTATGAACTTATTTTTATATTTACCTTTCAAAAAAGGAAATTTGTTTTAAATTAACCAAAGTAATCATCAGTGGCTTACCAGGAATGTTTTACTCACTGTCTTTAACATATGAGAGATATTCTTGAACCCTTTTTGAGCATATAGCCCGTGATGTACGTAATATTTACAAATTTTGATTCTGCTTCTGAAAAGGAACTTATCTTTGTGGATATTATTCAAGGTCATATTTATTGAAAGTGTTTATAAAGTGTGCTCACCATTAAAATGAGAGTTGAACTGTAAATTTGTAGGAGTAAACGTTTTAAGTTGATATCAGTGTTTATAAATTATGTGTGTTGTAGTTAAGAAGGTTCTGTGACTGGAAGTTCTTTTGTTATTTACTTTTAAGGGGGGAAACTATTATATTAAAAGAAATGTGATATTAAATATGAAAATTACATATTTTTTTTAAAATATGTCTCAGTCAGATGCTTCGTCCGTGGATTATGATTCGACTCGTGATAGAAAGAGAATGGGTACTGTTTATTGAGTTTGTTAGTGGTTTGTCTAATTTCTGTAAATTATTTGAGTTTCTCTTGTTTCAGGAACATGATGACCATGATGAATTGTAAAATATATTAAAAAAATGTACAGAGACTATAAAAGATTTTTATGCAACGGCTTTCATCTGTGGACAGTGAAAATGTCGTAACCCTGACTGATACTTTTTTTTTTAAAAGAGAAACAAAGATTGTGCAGCGCAAGTGTAATGCAACTTGACTGATTGCAAAAACTGAATATTCAAAATATTCGAAGAATAATTAAACATTGCTCTGTATAAATGAGTGAGACTCGAACACACAGATCTTAGTTCTTCTTTGTGCAAGTCTTCAGTGATTGGTTCTTTGTAGTGGGTAACGTGCATTTTCATAAACTTTTAATTTTGAAGAAAATAGAAGAACTTTGTGCAGCAACTTCCATCATGTACAGAATAATTAAATATCAAGTCTTAATATTCTTCTTTTGTTAATTCACATTTGAAGTTTGTTTCACTTGTTAGATTTTTCATTGGTTTGAGCAAGAAAATGTCAGAAGTATTTAAACGTTTTTGTTGCATTTCAAATCCCCCCCCCCCTTTCCTTTCAAATTTACTGTGCACAGATGTGAAGTAAAAAAAGTAATCAGCCCTATTATTCCACGAGTGCTTACTACTAATACACATTTTGATACAGAATAAATTTGAAACAGTTTAAGTTTGTAGTTCCGAATTGCGTGGAAGTTAGTGTTTTGTAGCATTTTCTTTTATCAGAATTCATAGATGCCCATTAAGTACATTACGTTCACTGATGAACACAGCCGTCACTTCCTGACTCCCAGAAGGGAATGCATGACATTAAAATTAATCTCACAAGAGTGCAGCTGTGTCTAACATTGTGAAAAATCCTGGTTATTGTGCGTGCACATGCATATGTAGTTCATTATACTGTTGAATGGAATTTTTCTTGAGTTATGTATAATGTGGCTCTGCTAGAAGGTCAGAATTTTGTCATAAATTTAAAATATCTCGGGATCACAATTCCGAGCAGAGCAAGAATCCATAAACGTAAGAACCTTTGGAATGCTGTGTCGCTTCTGGACGAGAAACGTGCTAAATAATACGTGCTTACTGAAGAAAAACTAGATGAAATACAGGCTACGTTGCGTGACAAATGTGGACAGCCTACAGAATGGAAAAGCAAAACGTAACGGTAACTTTTGGACGTTACTTCGAAAGAATGTTTTTGGGTGATTTTCAGTCTATTTAAACAGCACAGAGTTTGTATTTGCAGAGAGATAATTTTCAGTACCTCTTATAAAAAAGATAAGATTATTTCGTTGTTCTTATGGAGCAATGCTTGTATCAGGAAAATTTTTATAGTGCTCGTCGGTGAGTTCCGCCAGGAGCCAGGAAGTGACTAAATCGCGACAGTAAATGCATTGCACAAAGACATTCACATATTGACACAGATCTTCCACTGCTTAGGTATGAAGTTTACATGGAATAATTTATGTAATCTTTTGCAGATTGAATGCTGACAGACTTTACAGAAAAAAACATGAGTTTTCTTTAACATCCTTTGTAAGATGCTGTACTGGATAAGTATGTAGGCTGAGCTTTTAGACACAGTTTTCTTTGTTGTTGTTGAAATGGACTGACTGCCATTCTTGTGACAAAAACAACGAGTGCTTATTACTAATACACATTTTGATACAGAATAAATTTGAAACAGTTTAAGTTTGTAGTTCCGAATTGCGTGGAAGTTAGTGTTTTGTAGCATTTTCTTTTATCAGAATTCATAGATGCCCATTAAGTACATTACGTTCACTGATGAACACAGCCGTCACTTCCTGACTCCCAGAAGGGAATGCATGACATTAAAATTAATCTCACAAGAGTGCAGCTGTGTCTAACATTGTGAAAAATCCTGGTTATTGTGCGTGCACATGCATATGTAGTTCATTATACTGTTGAATGGAATTTTTCTTGAGTTATGTATAATGTGGCTCTGCTAGAAGGTCAGAATTTTGTCATAAATTTAAAATATCTCGGGATCACAATTCCGAGCAGAGCAAGAATCCATAAACGTAAGAACCTTTGGAATGCTGTGTCGCTTCTGGACGAGAAACGTGCTAAATAATACGTGCTTACTGAAGAAAAACTAGATGAAATACAGGCTACGTTGCGTGACAAATGTGGACAGCCTACAGAATGGAAAAGCAAAACGTAACGGTAACTTTTGGACGTTACTTCGAAAGAATGTTTTTGGGTGATTTTCAGTCTATTTAAACAGCACAGAGTTTGTATTTGCAGAGAGATAATTTTCAGTACCTCTTATAAAAAAGATAAGATTATTTCGTTGTTCTTATGGAGCAATGCTTGTATCAGGAAAATTTTTATAGTGCTCGTCGGTGAGTTCCGCCAGGAGCCAGGAAGTGACTAAATCGCGACAGTAAATGCATTGCACAAAGACATTCACATATTGACACAGATCTTCCACTGCTTAGGTATGAAGTTTACATGGAATAATTTATGTAATCTTTTGCAGATTGAATGCTGACAGACTTTACAGAAAAAAACATGAGTTTTCTTTAACATCCTTTGTAAGATGCTGTACTGGATAAGTATGTAGGCTGAGCTTTTAGACACAGTTTTCTTTGTTGTTGTTGAAATGGACTGACTGCCATTCTTGTGACAAAAACAATAAAAGAGATGAATAATTATAAAATACATGTTTTTAATGTATTTCTCCTATGGTAATTTTTCGTTTGACAGAACACAAAATATGTACAAAATCAGGCTTGCACTACAGATGCACGGGAAAATCTTCGGTATGTCGAGAAAATGCAGCAAAGCGTTAAAATTATGAAAAAAAGTTGGAGAGTCTTAGAAGAGGCAGTCCCTACCCAGAATTTGTACTGTGTCGAGACAATGGTAAATTCTAATGGATAACAGCATTTCTGACATAACATACAGGTTACATAACGCTACATTCATGATTCTTTTGGAAGTGAAATATAGGTTAAGATAAAAAGTAAGAATCATACTTACTAAGCATCAACTAGAATACCTTTAATAGGGAGACAAAAAACGTTTAGAAAGAATTGATAACGCAAGGGAATGAAATGGATGACAAGAACAGTGAATTATAAAATTGGGAAGACCCCAAGAATTGAAGGATTTACCTTTATTGTTTTGCAGTTATGCTGTGGCTACTGATCTGTTTATGGACTGATTTTTAGATTTATCAATTCTGTTCCCAACTGCAGAGGTTATAAATTATAAAATAAGATATGAAAAGGCTGGGGTGTCATTTTGAACTGGGTATGTATTGGCAGATATATAAAATAATATCTACGAGGGTCGCTCATTAAGTAATGCCCCACATTTTTTTCCTCAGAACATATTTATTCAAGATGGCTCAAATTTAGTGACAATATAAATCAATGTTTCCTTTACACATACTATTTTTCCACATAGTCCCCATCAACTTGTACGGTTTTACGCCAGCGTGGAACAAGTGCATGCATCCCTTGCCGGTACCAGCTCTTGTCCTGTGCACGTAGCCATGTCCTCACTGCTTGAATATCTACCATAAAATGAAAATATGTAATAATATTTACCTTCAAAAGAACAATATGCTTGATGAACACACATAACCTCAAAACACACTAACACATGGAAACCACATTGAACTGAACCACAAAATAAAATGGCAGGTTGTCTTCAAGTAATTCACCTGTCTCCACCAGATGGCAGGAGACTGAAGCTGATTTACAGTCACAACAGATATTCCACTGCCTTATAAATATATTTCTCTTAAGTTAACAATCTCTTTTACAGAGTTATGATAAAGGTTGGGGTCCATTAGTTTAATGTACTGACAGTTTAGACAAACCAGAGCAACAGAGTCAACTTTTAATCAATTATTTCCATACAGACACAACCTTCACCCTGTTATTAAAATGGGACACTTCTACCACATTTTAATTAACCACTTTTAATTATCTGTAGACACAACCTTCACCCTGCTATTAAAATGTGACACTACTACCATATTTTAATTAACCACTTTTAATTATCTGTCCAATACAATATCCCAAATAAGTATGTGCCAGGCTGGCTCTGTCTTCTGGTAAAAAAAATACAGAGCAACAGCTGAGCAGCTAAATGAGTTGTCAGTTGCCGAGTTACAAGGCCGAGCACGGTTTAACCAACAGAATGATAATAAAACAGGGCAGAGACATGGGAATTTACAATTACAAAGAGCAGCATATTATGGCTGTTCTAAAACCAAACCTAAATGCATATATCCTTGGCAAAGCAAAATGAATGAACATTCAAATACACAGACACTTTATTTAATTTTTATTTACACATAAATATATATGAATACTTGTCAAAGCGTTAATCTCTGAATATATCTCTATGGGCCAGAATGCATCTAAGAACATCCAAGAATCTTCCGTGTTTATAAATATTCTGGTAGGAGTTAGGTTAGGTTCATGAACCGCATCCTCTGTTAACTACTAACGTACATGAATCTCAACTGAGGGAAGGTAACAATATACTAACCAGTACTTAATAATAATAATTAACTGATGTCATATACTCCTGCTGCAACTATTTGCCGTGACAACCAGTCCAGTCCATCGTGGAGACCCGTCCCACTTTGCGCGTCACAAGCCTGAATATGCCACCTCCTACCACAGCATAATTTATACAGCGCAAACTGCTCCGTCAGTTCCTCTATTGTTGCACAGCCAGGAATGTCCTACAATATAAAAGTACCATTAACAATTATGAATTTTAAATTTCATATTGCTACCATGTAACCACCACAATGAAGACCCGTAATGTGGTCTTTGCTCACACTAGAGAAATCTATTTACATTATACCATCATCTAATTATATGCTTACCAATTCAATACTTTTATCTCACGCAGACGTCCGCGACATACCTGTTTGTTTGCCAGGATCAACAGAGATGCGTCCTCCAGCTCTTTCTCAGACATAAGTTTCGCAAGTTCACTGTGGGCTTCAGCAAGCCGATCGTGATTGCTCGAGTCAATGACAAACACCACCGCCTGAAATAATTAATTATTCATGTAGGAAAACCCAGAGTTACTTAGGAGGTTTATCAATGGCTCCCAAAATATTACGCTTTACGCCAGTCTCTATATGTGAAAGCCAGGATAACACCTTGAAAAATGTCCATGTTAAGCCTCCTTCCAAATTCTTACCGTACCATTATCATATAAACTGTGTACTTGGAACAGCATTAAATAGCTCAATAATCAACCAATAAATTACTACTGCACTGTGTAGTTATTATGATTTCCCAAAGAAAGGTAATATAATCATAAAACATGGCATTTACTTGAGTGTTGGAGTAATAATGCTTCCAAAGTGGACGCAGTTTATGCTGTCCTCCAACATCCCAGATTGTGAACTTCAGATTCTTATATTCCACTGTCTCCACATTGAAGCCTATGGTTGGAATCATGGTCATGAACTCATTCTGCTTCAACTTGAAAAGAACAGAAGTTTTCCCAGCACCATCCAAACCCAAAGTAACAACTCGCATTTCAATCTTCGGTCCAATATGTACGCGATTATCCTGTAATACAACAAAAAGTTACAGTGGAACCACGGTTGCGGAGAATTTGACGTAAATACATCTATACGTGATCAACATATCGTGCGAACACCATATCTATACAAGATTTTGATCTAGTAGTACTAGATTGAGGATTTGACATCAACATTAAGCCAAACGTTTCTGTACTGTCTCATATATTCTGCTTTATGGAGTCTTTTAGCTTCAATGTCATCCATCTTGTATAGTGATACTACAATGTGGAATAAACAGAAGACGTAACAATTAGAGTATACAGCACGCAAGCTGACCATTGTTGTCGGTCCATATTTACACATTTTTCTGTAGCTTTTTCGTAATGTTTTTTGCGTAAGGACTTTGGTTAGGGAGCAGTAAATATGACCTACTAAATAAAACTCTGATTAAAAAAGCTACGTTATTATTATCTAATTGTAAGATAAACTTTCTTTGTTCCTGAAATTCCCTAGATTTACAATCCGAATCCTCCATCCATTATCTAGCTCGAACCAGACCAAGTACTTCATCTACAGTCACAGTAGAACAAACAACATGTACTCACCCAGACTATACACCACGGTAAGCAGCAGCAACATGGCGAGCACGAGTGACGCAGATTCCAGTAGCAACACCTAGTGTTCGAGAGAATCCTCCTTAGAGTAAAGATCCTGCAAATTTATAAGGATCGAAGGACGCGCAGTTATGATGTGGTTCGAGGGAACCGCCCTGGAATCGACGTTTCTCATTGGTCAATTGGGTTTGTTCTACTTCCCTAACCGCAATACCTTATTTACCAAGAGTCAGAGTCTATTTGTTACTTGCGCTAAGTTCCATAAGCCTTGCAGTTACTTACCTTCGTGAAAGTAATGGGTATGCTAGGATCAGGTTGCAACTGTTCTGGGCTCAACTCGGAATACTGCTGCTGCTGTTTCTCAATCGAGTTCAGAGCCTCCTTGATTTCTCTACCAACCATCAAGACACGAGTATCATCCTGCTGTATAGTTTGTTCGCACTGGACACACACACTGGCCATCTAAATTCACAAACATAAAGAAGATGACAATTTACCGAACCAAGTAAAGAGATACAGTTTCACTTCACACATTTATGCTGGAAGTGAATTACCTAAATCATACACTTGTAAACACCAAGGATGACGATTTTTAAAATGTAAGTAATGTTACCTGGAATTATCTTAAAACACTGATTAAGTAATTTTTCTTTAAATAAATGTAACTAAAAGGATATTAATGTCACAAATTCAAAATTGATAAGTGTCACACAGTTCCTTTCTTGTAGAATTAATAATTCTGTATATTTCAAACACACAAAGAAAATAAGAAAAAAAATCAGTTCAACAATATTTAAGTAGTAACCTGTGAAACTGATGTAGATAAATCTTCCTGAAGCTGACGCAATGAACAGAGTCTTTCTCTTATGTGAGTGTCCACTGCAGCCATGGCCGCAACCTCCTGTAGCTGTAGCGTTTCACGCAGCTGCTGGAAGTACGTCTGAACACGTGCACGAGCAAGATCGGCCGTTCCCCCCTCCCTTCCCGTACCTTCAAGCATCTGAACTACTTGTTCTGCAAATGCGTAAGAAAACCAATAACACATACTGCAGGGCACAAAGAGAAAAATCTCGATTTCAAAGCTAATTTATCCATCAGCTGGTCGGTGTGCATATATATAAAATGTTCTCTGTGAAGAGGACTCAATATCAAGAGCAGTTAGTCGATACTTTCAACCGTCTGTACCTTTAATACTGAAACCACTAAACTGAATTTTAACCTCTTCCATGCTATGCACAACATATCTTGCTTAGAAGTACTGCCACTTGACGTGTGCAATTACGTAATGTGCGATAAGATGAGTGAAAGAAATATTTACTATGATATCTCAACAGTTTGTTACTTTAAAAAGAATTGACAGTGGAACCACGGTTCCGGAGAATCTGAAGTAAATACATCTCTGTAATGTAATGACCATTGTTGTCGGTCCATATTTACACATTGTTGGTATGGATCTTACACATTTTCCTAACGCTGTTTTGCCGAATGACCCTTCCGTATAGGCGTACTTACGTCAAAAAAATTATAGGACGTTATGAAAATGCACAAACAGAAATGCCTGTAGCAATCAACCTGACCTGCAATTCTATAAGTCAAGTTAAATTCTTACATATACCAAGTTGTACTTTTTTTGGGGACCTTAATTCTTCTGACAATATTCATGAATGAATGCACCAATTAAACATACCCAGTTTGTGTACAGTTTCACTCATATCTTCCATAAATTTTCTCATATGCTGGACAGCATTTATGACTGTTGCTCGGATGTTTTCAGCTTCAGTTTCTACCAAAGCATGCTGCAAGAACGCATTAAAATATGTTAACAATAAGAAGTTTGATGAACCTAAAGAAGTTTAAAATTACCGGGGTCAAGCTGTGTATTCTTATCTCTATTCTGGGGGCCCCCAAAGTGTTGGGACCGTGGGTAGCCACACCTCTAATCTGAACCTAAGGATGGCCCTGATCTAAAACACATATGCGTCCTCTCCAATACACCCCCAGAGGCCACCACTGCAACATGGCATCCTTTTGCATATGAGATTTCTTTAATGTTTAGAATTACTGTGAACAAAGGTTAAGGTTTGTTTCAACTTCATTACGACAGATGTCATGGAATCTTTAGTAGTTCCAATATTTCCCATCGAAATGGCATGTAAGATCACAAATATCAAAGCTGGACTGAAAGCACAGCAAATAAGCCTCCCTATTAACTTTGTCAAATTAAGTAACGGATTATGCGCACACAGTGATTTATACCTGGATGTAAATAATTGTGGTGAAACGTAAGATGTTAGTCGCGATTAAAGTATTAGTTAGATGTTTTAGTTATTAGCAGAACGCTGTTTACAAACCATATACCGCAGAGAAACCCAGGTTATATTTCCCTAACAGTAACAAGGAACTAGTAATTTTGTTAAGTACCTCAAATGCAAATAGTTCTAAACTTTTGCTGGAAATTCCTCTAAACTCCATTAATTCAGAGCAACAGGTAGGTGATATCTGGTCCATAACCCTTCAGCAAAACACAGCCATTTAAATTTTGAACAGCCTACCCAAAAACTGAAATTCACAGGGCAGTTTTCAGCTGCAAAACTGACATTTACCTTATGGCTCTTGTGACGACCATAATCCTTGCAAATGAAGCACATGATAGGCCCCGGTCCAGACTGCAGTGTTTGGCAGTCATCTTCCAGACACGTAAATTCAGCAATGTGTGTAGGATGCGCTGGGCATTTTGGTTTTTCACGAGGTTTGTCAGAGAGAGGCACTCTCCGGTGCCTTGCGAGCGTGCGAGTAGCGTGAGTCAATTCCGAGCATTCCTCACACAGGTGTGATGTACACACAGTACAGTACAGAACTGCTATATGATGTTCATCTTCATCGCAGTTAACTGATAGCTGTAAAGGTAAGAGAGGAAACATACTACCATTTTATACTCTGCATTACAAGTTACGAAATACCAATTCTGGCATGTTTGTCAGACTGTCATTTGCGAAAGACTAGGAACTCCCCATCTAGAACTTGCCTTTACGTTGAATTCCTCATCCAACCATTTTGGAGAAGAGAAACGCAGGAATTCTATCAATACTGTTATTAATTTAGAATACTTGAAAACACAGGCCAGAAGATTAAAGAAATAAAATGGAAGATACTTGTCTGGTAAGTTGAGCAGAAGTTACATTAAAATATTCAATCTACCAAGGACACACTATAACAATGACAGAACCATTTACGGAAATAAATTCCCACTGAAAAGAAATGGACCTCTATCATGAATATTTTTAACTAAGCAATCAAACACACTTCACTAGCCAATGTATAAAAAAATGTTCTTTCATAAGTGTCACTTTTATAGACTTTGTTTTGTCACTTAAAATGGTAAAATGCTTACAGTCTAGAAAATTAAAAGTAAACCAACTTCTTTAGATTTGACTTAAAACTTGGTCATACCAGTTTAATTTATAACAATGCTTCTGTGCCGCACATATTATGCCGTGTCTAGTCTTAGAATTGGAAAGTACAGAAAAAGTAAACATTGTTTCACAAATGACAAAGCCTACATTTACAGTAAGCTTACCTGGCGTTCTTTTTCCAATAAATCTGCGGTGTAGAAATGGGCCGCTCTTTCATGAGTATACTGAAGTCTTTCCAAGAGTTCCAACAGGGCAAAATTCTTTTTCAACCCCAAAACACCTGAATTTCCTAATTTCATAAAAATGTACAAAAATAAAATTAAACCGCATGTTACATACCAAAAATTGATATTAGGGAAATAGAATGGTCGTGGATTTGATTCATCATTTGGCTCAGGACAGGGACTGGAGGTAGAATCTTGTAAACATAATAACAAACCTTTGGGTTCATAAAAGAAGGGACTTTTCTTCCCTAGATAAGCACACTATTAAGATCGTGGTCCATGGAGTTGGTTAGTTTGATACATACATTTGTCCGGAGATAGGGATTAGCTCTATCTAGTGGGCCCAACTGTGTAGGAACCTGAAGACAGAGATAGAGTCCCATCTCCGAAACGTCGTTTTACGTTTTATATTTACTAGACGATGGATAATATCCAAGAAAATTTTTATTCAATTGATACATACTGTTTAGGGCAGGATATTCTCAAGCTGCATATGTGGAGAGATTTTTCTTCCAGGAAAGTAAAAAGCTCCTCTGGGACATGTTGAAGGAGACTCTTTAATGGTGTAAATCACCAACAGGAACAAAACACAGGAAACTTAGGTAAAGCTATGGTACATTTTTACAACAGCAAGGAGCATTCAGAATTCAAAGTCTGCCAAGAACACATGTTAAAAATCGGTGTCATCGGGTGGGGATTACACCTTCTATGACTTGTTACATAATATGACTGCTGTGATGCTGGATACTAGTTTTTGGCTCTACAAATTTACATCAAATTTAGCATCTCTACTATAAGGTAAGTAAATCCTAACAGACTGCAGACTGTATGCATTTTTTCTCATACCTAAATGTAGGCAATATGTGATTATAATACATTTTTTTAGTAACCTACCAACTGGTGTGGGTTGTCTGTCGAAAGGGCATTGTACAGCATTGTCTCTCAATGGAAGACGAAGCAGACACGCATGGCACACTGTATGGCCACAGTATAAAAGGCGAGGTACTTTATCGCCTTGAAGCCCAAATACATCTTCACATACACGACATTCAAGTACCTGTCGTAAGAAAAACAATGTTTTCTATACATGCTTATCATGTCTATTTGCGCTACCATAGCTGTCGTCTGTCCAACTCTGTACTTACATTCACTTTATTATTTGATTTAACCGGTCGAGTAAAGGTGTAAGAATTAAAATGGTCTATTTCACCAGCCATTATTATTCTTAATTCTTTCCTAACTGTCCCACAGCTGACAAACGTTCAGCCATATTAGCTATTATTAATAATCAGACATGGCACAGTATTTCAAAACACAAGTAACCAGGCATACCAAAATAAATGTAGCTCTCGTCGTAAAGATAATCTGTGACATCCATAAACGATATGAGAATATGGCTGCTGAGGAGACGACGTATGAAAGTTTATACCATCAACAAGTGAGTAGTTTTACATATTTGACATAAGTTACACAGAAGTGTGACTTATGACGTAACATAAAAGCGCTAATTATAGAACGGAGTTATATATTAAAGTAATGGTGAATTCGTAAAGAATATCAAACAGTTTAAATTGTTTGGTTATGTACACATTTACGTCAATATAAACAACTTTTAGTTCTTTGATATTAATATTATGACTGATGTGTATTGTCCACTTTATGACAGACAATAATAACACATAAGCCACAAATATCCTGAAATATTGAGACAGGCCCAACAGAACATTTCAAGCAGGTCCTTGACAAGAAACCAAAATTTGGTTCTGGATATAACAAGGCTTGGGAAATTCTTTATCAAGAGTGTTTAACGGTTAAGATAACTCGGAGAGCTTATGTCTGTATGGACTGAACATTTGCAAATCACAGCAATATTAACATTTACACTGTCATGTAATTATGTTAGTTGTGGTATGTTTGTAGGATACTGGCCGTCAAAATCCAGGAGCTGTCTCACAGCCAATTTTGCAACACCAGTATCAAGTGCAGTCACAAGGCAACATACCCCCTCCATTTTATCACAATATCCCAAGCACTGTTCTTGCTCACATGTCTTCAGATCGAGGGGCACCACCATCTTATGAAGAAGCTATTGATCCTAATGGTAGGTCGTAATGGCCAGTGCTTAGTAATTTATGTTCTTGTAAATCCTGTGAATTTTAATTTTTTTATCACTGCACTGACTTATCATGTATAGTCAGTCACACGGATAATGTGGATTGTTTCGTCTTTTGGGGCAGATTAGTGTAAAACAGTTGCATGTCAGTTATGCAGATCAGACTGTTTTACAGAGGAGAAAATATTGTTCAACATTGTACTTGAATTTGGAACACCCAGAACAATAATCAGTTTAATCAGAGTGTATTTAAAGAAAGCCTTGTCTGATACAGTACCTTTCAGAATGGTTGAAACATGGGAATACTTTATTGCCATTGCTTTTTAATTTCATTTTTGAATGCACCCCTCTATTAGAACTGTCCAAAAAAAACAAAGCATGACAAGTCAAATGAAACACATTGGTTACAAATATTCGGTACTTGTGGGTTATCGGGACACATCACTTTAAAAATAGGTTAGGTTAGGTTGTTGTTCTGCAAGATTGTTTACCGCACCTCCATTTCACTCTATCACTGAAATATAGTTTCATAACAACCGAACCTAACCTATTTTTAAAGCGACGTGTCCCGATAACCCACAAGTACCAAATATTCTTATGAGGGCACTTTGATTTGACCATAAAGGATACAGCAGGTTAATTCAAAGGATTTTTTTTACTTTATTCCTTGACATGATTTTACCTCTAATTGTGTTATGTTTTTCTCTTTACAGCACCTCCGCCTTCTTATGACTCGCTGTTTGGACGAGTACGTGAGGCACATAAAGCATCCAAGGGAATGTTTGACTTTTTGAAAAATGTTATCATTTTACTTTTAGGGACAAGTATGTTTACTCCTTATATTAATAGTATGTGAAGAACAATTTGCAATTCATACTATGAGCTTACTTTTTTCTGGTTTCCTCTTTCCAGTCGGTTGCACAATTATCCTGGGCGTGACAATCGTAATTCCCATTTGCATGATTGCCATTGGTTCCATCTACTTATACGACTGTCCACAAGGTGAATATATTCCAATATACCTGCTTGTTGGAGGTAAGTAATTTATAGCTTTGGTCATTTTGAAAATGCCAGAGTTACGGAAATTTATTTTTTCTGTTTGTATCAATATAGTATAACCCTTATTTTATATAACACTAACAAAGGGATCACCCTGTATCATAAATACATGAACATCAAAGCAAATATGATGCAGAAAATACTCTTGTTACCTCACATTAACGATTAACTTATGGTCATACGTAATAAACTATATGAAATAAATTACCTATGCAGCAACTTGTAACGCATGGATCCCACCGATATTACTGAATCGTTAACGGTTTGTCCCCCTTGTTCTCCCACATTTAAGTTCATTTCACAATTCATCGCGATCCCGACATCCATCACAATTCACTTGAAATTTTAGTTAAGGAGCTTTTAAATGGTAATTATTAAGTTTCTTGCAGGTGGTTTTGGGGTATTAAAGCAACTGCTTCATCTTTCTGCAAGAGTAAGACAACACGAAGAAGAGCAGGAAGAAGAGCGAATTCGGCAGTCACCCACGCAAACGCTGATAAATTGTTTTATGCTTGGGTGGTTCATTATAGGTAAGAGGTGCACGAGACATATATAAGTACTAAATAATATAAGATACCAAACTTCTTTCAGTTTAATCAGACGGTCGCATTAACAGTAACCAATTTTAGTTGTAAGAGCGTACCAGGGAACATTCCAAAAAGCATAGACAGAGGGCATCTGGCTTTGTACTGCAAGTCGTTTTCAGCAAAATTTCATCATAAACGTTTGATAAACCTTAAATTCCAAATTTTTACACTGCTGTATCGGATGACTGGGTGCGAAACATGGTCTCTCACTCAGAGGGAGGAACACAGATTGCAGGTGTTTGAGAATCGGGTGTTGAGGAGGATATTTGGGCCTAAGAGGGAAGACGATGGGGCGTGGAGAAAACTGCACAATGACGAGCTTAAAAATCTGTACTCCTCCCCCAATATTGTCAGGGTGATTAAGTCGAGAAGAATGAGATGGACGGGGCATGTAGCTCGCATTGATGCGGCAAGAGGTGTGCACCGGGTATTGGTTGGGAAGCCTGAGGGGAAGAGACCTCTGGGGAGACCTAGACGTAGATGGGAGGATAATCTGAGGCGGGATCTATGGGAGATAGGAGTTGAAGGAGACTGGATTTTGTTGGCTCATGACAGGGTCCGGTGGAGGGCTTTGGTTAATTCGGTGATGAACCTTCGGGTTCTGTAAGCCATCTGTTTGGTTGGGTCCACTATTTGGGAAGCCTGAGGGGAAGAGACCTCTGGGGAGACCTAGACGTAGATGGGAGGATAATGTCAGGCGGGATCTATGGGAGATAGGAGTTGAAGGAGACTGGATTTTGTTGGCCCAGGACAGGGTCCGGTGGAGGGCTTTGGTTAATTCGGTGATGAACCTTTGGGTTCGGTAAGCCATCTAGTTAGTTAGTTAGTATCGGATGACACGGTCCAGTTACGTAACCCCTGGAACTCTACACCAGATCCCATTAATCTTATTTTTGGGAATACAATGAGAACATCGTACGTTCCGTAAGTATCCACGTTCTGCTTCCAGACATACTGAACCAAGTATTGGCAGAAAATGAATATTGTGTTACTGTTTATTCAGCATGTGCGTATTGAAAATTACATGTAAACTTTTAAACATTTTTTTAAGAGGACTCATGTTTGCAACTTATGAGTTCAAAGAAACAACCATACTTCAATTATCCCACACTGTTTACTCTTACACATGAAATTTCCTGTTCTTCCCAGGTTCAGTTTGGGTGTACAAAGAATATGAACCTAACTACGACCCATCACGGGGAAAGTACTGTAATCAAACATTGTACCTGTTCGCCTTCTGGCTCATCACATCTGTATACATTGTTCTGGGTGTCATAATTATGTGTTTATGCAGCATTAGCGTGGCTTCAATCGCATTTCAGAGAGACACCTAATTGTTGGAAACGTCAAGCCTCAGTTTATATTTTTTTATGCACTTTTTTTTATGTATGTATATTTAATCAGTATTGTTTCTTTACAAGTATGATTAGCTGAAGTCAGTTTTTATATTTAATCAAGTTCTTCCATTTCGTAAAAAGATTACTTCTCTATCTGAATTGTATTAGCTCTTCTTGAACTCTGAATTCTCTGTGACAAGGTATGCCCAGCTGGGTACGAACTGTACACTAAAATAAAAACACAGGACAAGTAGCTGCTGTTGAAATGTTCGCATGAATTTTGTCCGTCATGTTTTTTAAAGCTGTTTGTAAGGGACGCGTGACAATTCAGTTGCAGCTTACAGTATTCAGATGCAGTTCACAACTCCTTATTTTAGATTTGTGCTTAATTAACTTCAGGCCAGATATTTTGTGCTTCGCAAGCACGTTTTATGAGTGTCAATCACAATAATTTAGCCATGACAATATTGACGCTAAGTACTTGAAACTTTTATATTCACAAACAGAAACTAGCCTATATTAGGTTGGGCTGATCTGTCTTTTTAATGTAGCATTTATTGATCTTTATTCTATTCTCGTGTGCCACCCTAAAGCAAGAGTTTGTTAATTCATAAATGTTCTGATGTGGTCCTCTCTGTATTAAGACAAGGTTTTGGTATAATGTTTCATGTGTTATGAGCACAACTACTATATTACAGCAATTAAATTGAGGATGAGATGGGTGGGGGAATGTAGAATGCATGGGGAGATGAGAAATTTATATTAAATTTTAACGGAAGGCCTGAAGTAAAGACTCACTCAGAAGACCTGGGCACAGATTGATGATAATATTAAAATGGATCCTGGAGAAATAAGATGCTGAGGTATGGATTAGATTAATTTGTTTTGGGATAGGGACCAGTAGTAGGCTCTTATTAATATGGCAATGAACCTTTGGGTTCCATATGAAATAGGGAATTTCTTGATAAACTGAGTGACTATCAGCTTCAAAGTTATATGAGTCGGTTATGGTGTCTTAAATATTCGCTGGAGCTGAGAACAGTTCTTAACAATTTGTTCCCGGAAATTTTGCACTTTTATAATTAAAATTAGCAGTAACTGTCACTAATATGTGACTGGAGTAGTAAGGTACATTGCAGCAGTAGAAATAAAATTCTATAAAAAAATGTTTATGAATGATGAGTGAGGTGGCCAGTTCTCATATGAACCTTCATTGCAATGTGTTCATGCAGCAAAAACATGGTATTAATCAAAATTGTATTTCTAGCATTGCTGAGAACTGGAATTAATAATATTAATTCAAGCTTCTTCTGTGGTAACTTCATGTTAGATTTTTCATTTTTAGACTTGAGGGAAAATTAACAGTTTAGGGAACTGAAGATAAGCCGACTTACACACTACAAAGTTCGAAGGTAATTTTTCCACAATTCTATCTTCAACATTAAGACAATGATAAATTCACAAGGAGTCAAATTGTATACACTTGTAATACTTATTAGACACGAGGATGTGTGTCATGACAGCTGGTTTTTAGCTGGGCATTATGCACAGAAATAAACAAATAATCTATCTAATTATGAACTTGTTTCCCTGACAATGGAGGCAGCAAGAACCTCTTAAACACTGGTAAGCTTCTACCAGACTACACTGTGCTGCAACCCAGAAGACAGACATCTTCATACTCACCACTGTGAGAACCTCAAATTATATTTATTAATTTATAATTCCCAGTAGCCTAGATGGAATCACTTAATGAAAAGTTGGCATAATTTATTTTCATATATGATACCAAACATGTGAAGTAGGTGATACATTTAATATATGCCCTGTCGGTTCAGTGCTTTAACAGCGAATTTACATTTTATAGACATATCAAAGGTAGTTTGTACATTTTCTCCTTATTGAAACATTTTGCTGTCTTCAAAGTTTATTTCCTGTCTGTTAAGTATCCTAACCCCTCCACTAACTAATGCCATGTTACAGTCTTCCCCAAACATTAAATACTTACGTAGTTCAAACAACTTAAGATAGGATCCTCATCAAATTCTCTGTTAAAAACCAAATGGGTGAAGATTTTGAAGAGGCAAATGCTAGGATGAGACTAACAGCTCACTGGGCCTAAGACGCGAAAGTATGATGACGATTTTTCTGAGATCTGTTAAAATATTATCCATCACCCAACAGGTTGCATAACCAAAATATTATGTACATTTCGTGTCTGCCCCATGCATACCACGTATGAATGAAACTGACTCGGGATGATATCCAATACGGAGTGTTAATTATAGATTCCCATGAATGTATCGAACTTCAAAATTCTGAATGGTTGCAATGATTGTAATTGTCAACATTTAAAAATGTTTGTACGTATGTTTATGATCTATTGTCATTCAAAATTTCACGAAAATCCATCACTAGAATCATATGACGTCAGGGAGAAGCAGACATGTGAACAGACACGATGATCTGTCTCTTCCGCTGAAATAGGGAATGTAGGCTAAAAAGTGTTTCATGAGTGCACAAAACATTCCTCTGTCTCTTAATCACTATACCCATTCTTTATACATTATGTTGAATTGTAATTATAATCTAGCTTCATTGAGTTTTTTTCTACAATCCTATTACGTGTGCTTTATTTGCTCTGTAAGTGTCGATTTCAACCACAAATCTAACCTCCCATCTCCTTGGTCTTGCAAGTGGCTGCTTTACAACAGCTACATGTCTAACCCATCACTTCACCAATCTAAAAATACTGAGTTACCTGTCAATCATGTACCTTCATCTCTTGTATGTTTAAGAATCTTCTGAGAACTTTGCTTTCAAGTACTGGATAGGGGTGAGTGGATCCTCTTGGTTCCGTAGAAGGCCAAACAGCCATCAGCTTGTCAGTAAAAGATTTGCCGTGTGGATTAACTTTGCTTTCCCGGAATGGCTGAAATAAATTATTAGCAAGTCACAGTGAGAACAGACGCTTTGGGATTTGATTGAAGATCTTCTGGAAACTATGCAGACAGAAGTTAGGAAGTGAGATTTCAGGTTCTCACAGCGGTAAGTATAAAGACGGCTGTCTTCTTAGTTGTAGCGCGGCGTAGTCTGGTAGAAATTTACAGACGTTTCAGAGGTGCTTGATGCCTCTGTCATCAGGGTTGCAAGCACCTCTGAAACGTCAGTAAACTTCTACCAGACTACGCAGCGCTACAACTAAGAAGACAGCCGTCTTTATATTGTGTTTGTATTTTGAAGTAGCGGGGACAGACTAAGAGGTCGGCATGAAGACTGTACGATAGAAACTGACGTGAATACAGCAAGACCCATAATAGGATATAGTAAAAGTAGTTACAAAAGTGAGTTAATAAGAAATACATTGACAATAATTATGCAAGTTTGTACAGACATGTATATGTGAAATTAATGTATAATGAATAACTATTGGTGTGGAACCTCATAAATTTGTTACAGATATGTGTTGAGTTTTAAATTACAGTGAATTATGGGCATAATATCAAAGTACAGTACATGTGCGTACATTAAAACTGACTTTCAGAATATGTTTTTTAAATTAATATTTTAGAAAATATCAGCAACATTTCAAGTATCTATTACTGATTTGATTTTATCTAAAGACCACCTGAAATTGATTCTTCACAACAGCAAGTGAATCAAATGATGGGACTGCAGTACGGCATTTGAATTCTTAAGACAAATTCAGATCATCAGAGAACTGGAAATGAAGTCTAGTCATAATTTGGTTCTATAGAGTTAGATGTTCAGTTATTTTATTAGGTTATCAACTGTTGAGGTTATGTACCATCAAGTGAGTTATGGCAGAATAATTTTAAATAAACACGCAAACATACTGTCGGATGTCTAACAGCAGAAGTTAACCAAGAACTTAGTGGCATATGTCAGCATCACATTTGATCGAGGGGAGAAACTGGAAGGGGGCCGTCATGTTCATAATCACTGCTCTGAGAACCTGAAGACCTGTGCAGTACTACTTGGTGATATATACAGAAATAGTGATGTAATCTGTAACATATTCCAGAACATTCTACTTTGTAGGCATCAAAAGAATCTCTCTAACCCGACACTTGGCTAGTCTCAGAGTAAAGGTACATGTGAAGAATGATTATGTATGTTGATTGGATCAAACTGCACAGCACATAAGCTGGGTCACAACTAACTAACTAACCCAACACCACTTTTCAGATGAGCTCATATACAAGACTCGAAATGTATTTCTGCAGATTAACTGTGAGATCTTGGTTTCCATAGTTGATAAGTATTAGTCATAATGTATGAATAATCTAGTCTAGAACCATACATTGTTAAGTTGTACTTTGATGAGTAAGATGAAACCAAAATCATTATTCACTGTAAAATTTTGAAACAGAAGGCCTAACAGTATGTCTGAGATGACCTAACTTTCTGATTTAAACTTACAAGTTTCATTTTTAATCATTAATACCACGCCATGTGTGATATTCTCCGAACATCCTCATTGTATACGTCTATTTCTGAAAACTCAGAAGTTGCAGTCACACACTCCCTCAAAAATATTAAATTTAGTTGCGTTGATCTTCATGACACTTAGATCCTCCTGTCTTCAAATCGGATGAGTTATAATTAGGACGTCTGCCACACCAGCAAGTACCAGATTATACTCCCAAACAAACGGATGGATGAGGATGTTCGGAACACTTTGTATGTAGCTTTATTTTGTATATGATAGTAGATATTTGACATCTTGTATGTTTATTGAAACAAGACACCATTTATGATTATTCCCTACGTGATAAATCACCATGTGTCAACTGGAAACATTATTGCCACTTCACATTTAATGTCTCTTTTTAATTGAGTCATCTGCCAAGTATCATGGTTGTCTAATCCAGCTGTAATCAGTTTCATGATTTAAATTAAGTTTTCTGTCCTCTTATCTCTTATTAAGTCATATATAAGCTATGAATTATACTATATCTACTGTAAACATTTAATATTTGGTATAAAAATGCTATGCAAAGTCATTCACAGTGTTCAAATACATTTTTGTGTTGTCCTCTTTTTTGATTGCTTGTATTATGTCAATAAAGATTTGTGTACAATTTTATACTGTTTGTTATATGATGTGTGGCTTTGTTTAGTTTATTTTTGGTCATCCAAGATGTCATGACAGAATTCATAGTAGAATGTTGGTTACCAGTCCTTTTTTTGGTTTGCGAGTGTCAAGGATTTCCACACATCATCACAATATTTCCTTTTTACAGGAATGCTTATGAAACCAGATAGCATCCCAATAAAATACAATGAAACAAATACTCAAATTTTACAGGAAAGCTTATGAAACCAGATAGCATCCCCACTGACAGCACAGTTAAATAAAATACAATGAAACAAATACTCAAGCTCCGCAAAATCTACAATTCCATAACCTAATTTCTTTTCATATCCTCTCTTCTGTCCCTTCATTGTCAGCTATGAAAAATTGGGTTGACAGTATTTCTACAAGTTTCAAAGTTTGTTGTAAACAAATAAACAATATTGGCAGAAAGGAACATGGAATTTAACTAACCTCATTTTGCTAAATGACAGCAGTGACCAGTGTTAACAGCAAAATTTCCTCCCTCTCGTATCAGCAGAAGCCTTCTAGCTCCACTTTTTTGAGCCCTCACAATTGTTGTTGGTCTCAAGACACTGAAATGAAATTCCAAACACTTCGGAAGAAACAAATTTCAGAAACAGATGGTATATAAATTAACTAACTTCAGGAACCAGAGTCCCCGAGAAGCTGACAGTTGTTCAGTCAAGAAATTTCCCTGCCTTTTATGGGATCCAATGTTCCTTACCATGTTCACAAGACTCCATCACTCTGCTTTGGTTTCTTCCTTCTCAAAACATGAAATAACTTGCAACAAAATCCTCTTGGGCTACAAGCCATGTCAAAGTGGGACCACAGTCCAACGTCCATTTTTACGCAGCTAATCACCCAAGAGGATTTTATTGCATTCAGTCACTGAAAAATCATCACATCATGTACTAAATACATTTCAGCTGATACAGCATAATTAAATAAACTAGAGATAAATATACAACATACCACCTCTGCATGTACTGTGAATTCTTATTCTTATGAAGATTCAAACTTTTTTTTATGAACTATATTTGAATTCATACTACAGAGTAAATTCTTAATTTATAACCTAACCTAACTTTAACAGATCATCAAATATATTCCACATTGTTTGGACCACTTTTATAGTCAAGAAGTCCCATTATGGAAGTTCTTTGCAATTAGTGTTATGATCCACTTGCCTGAAAAGGAGAGGAAATCCACAAACATGGACACATACATATACATGTATATGTATGTAGTCTATGGATCCAAAAGTTAGAATGATGATGAAAAATAGGACATGGAATAAGTGATAAAAATTCAAAACATACAGGGAAATGGCATTAAAAATATTATCAATATAAATTAGTTTATTCATTCTCATTTTGTCTCATGTGCCTGAAACTGGCAACAGTATTTCACCACATTCCGTACAGCTTTGTGTTTACAGTCGTACTAAATCTAAGTATTTGCAGATGTAATATAATTTTTCTTCACTCTCCTGCCTGATGCAAATTTACATGAAAAATTATACTTACCAAGAGGAAATGCTTCCAAGCATTCTCACTGCTCCAGCAATGTCCTGGCAACGTTGTACTTTTTAGAGAGTTAAATTCTTGGCTTCTCTATTGTTTTCAAACAGACACAAAATACTACTTATTTCATTCTGAGACAGCTTATTAAATCTCATTATGTAACAGACAAAAATAATCAGCAATTAGTGGTACCTGTAGAAAAAAGAGAATATGTTAAGTATTTTTCTTTGAATATTCACACTTTAGATACTCAAGAGTGGAAATAAAGAGTATGAATAAATGTTACTAAAAAAAATGATGACATACCATTCAATTATCAGGTGGCTCCGGATGTCAATATAGACAAAAGCAATAATCACTGCTAGCCAAAATCTCATTTGCTGACGACAAAATTAGCACATATGCCATTCCTTCCTTACTGACAGTCACAGATTATAATCTACACTGACTTCCCTGTGCAAAAAATTCACCAGATTTGCTACTTGATTATCAACTTTATTAACAAGAACTGAAAAAAAGGCCAGTGTTATTTATTTATAGTTAGATGCCAGAATGTACAGGCACAATCCTAAACAGTGTTGCAAAAATGAATATGGGAGGAACTTGTGCAAATTACTTTTATAATTAATACACATTTGTATTTGCATTTATTACCAATTCACATGTGACATTTCATTAAAATTAAGGGCATTTACAAGCGGCCTTTTCGAGCTTATTAAAAGTGTTGCGGTTGCGTGGACTGTACGTACATAATTAAACAAGATTCCATCACCACAATAGGCTTCAGGAGGGTAGGAAAATGGTCCTCAAATAGTTTCATACATTAAGACCCCACTGGAAGTCCTGAGAGAGCAAGCTATGGAAAAGAACCTCGTACAGACATCAAATATCCTTCCATCACTGTTCCTTCAACTATTCTATATTCTTATAAGACAAGATTTTTTTTTTTTAAATTTTGTAGAGGAATAATTAACTGAAGGTTTATTGATGGCTTTGGTCAGTCATGCAGAAAAAATAATATATTTTTTATACACTTGGACAACACTCACATTTACTCATAATCTCATATTTTTCAACTAAAGGCTACCTAAGTGGGCCTATTGCATGACAAGTGCCTTGTACCAACCAATGACAAGACAGACACTACACCTACTCCCTAACAGAAGAATTAAATCCCACCGTTCCTTCACTTGCACACACAAACAAAAAACTGTGTAATGTAAAATCAACAAGATGAGAATTGAATGAACATTTCATTTTATCGATGGACTTTAATAACATAACATTATTTGGAAATCAAGAAGTTGCTTACTTTAATAAGGCGAAATATTAAACATTTACAAAAAAAAAAAAAAACCTCTAGCTACAATTACGCATAAACATAAATCGTATGTACGATCATCCAGTTCTGAACAGTGACTGCTCTGAACCATTACCAAAGTTCATAAAAATGAATTTGTAATTATATGTTTCTGGAGCTACATAGTAGTTCTACTTTAAATACAATATTTTACAGTTAGACACGCATTTGGTTTACTTTACTCTCTGTCTCTAATAATACTGAGCCGACTCTGCCCATGACGCGCTAGTCAGCCCACTGCAATACAAAAAAAGTTACATATAAGTTAACATGTACAATGACATTTCAGACCTCTATACCATACCTGAACCTACAGATATCTTGGGATTTGGTATTGCAGAGGATGGAAACCATCCGACTCAAGAGTAAAACTCTCCAAAATGGCCAATTACACAGTAAAACATAAAATGATGTCATGATGATTATGCTGTGAAGTTACGCATTTCAAGCAAGAAGACCGGCATCTCTTTCTGTGCATTTTCCTGAATGTATGGAGAAAATACAGCAAGTTAAAAAAAAAAAAAAAATTGGGCATGCCACACCCATCTTAACAAAATTATTGCGTAATACTAACCAGCATACTAATTGGCACTTTCCCTCGTTAAATTTTTCAATACCGGAGGTGTGATGCAAGAAACATCTCAGACCAGTTCCTGTATAACAGCACTATTACCTTAAAAATTCATCGACAGCAATAAGTATTCTGAAAATCAAAGCTACATTCGTAATTTATGTAAATGTCGCTCTTCACAGCCGAGACTTCATCAAGATATGGTAGGACAACTCTACATAGTAAATAAAACATCATACATAAGACCTCTTAGGCTTTGCTGTGTAAATGACTATTAAAACCACGTCAGACGGCACAACCCACGTGACTGATCTGGATACAGTATAATATTATATGTATATTCTCATTACCTCATGTTAAAATTTAATGGTGCAATGTTACTGCACCTCAATAACATACCTGCAAGCACACTCCCATACAAGCTGCATGCAATTTTCATTCATACAAATCTTTTAAAGCTACCGTCAGTCATCGATGTCAACAACAATATGCAGCGTCCATCCCCCCCCCCCGGTCACATCAACGCAGCATGCAAAAGATACAATTTTTTATCTTACTATTTACTAATATTAAATTAAGTGCATGCAACTTTTACATATGCAGGAGAAGTCTCTTTCAGTTTCTCTTAAGTCTACAGATCGTACATTCCATCCACTGTACAACCCAGACTACAAGATACTGAAATCTGAACCATTCGATGATTGTACTCCAGAGAACCGACTGACAAAACTGAGAAAGCTGTGATGTTTTGTCAGTACATCATCACTACTTGACTGATGCCCCTCTCCTAAACTGCCGACGTACATGGTACAGTCTGACTCAGCCTTGCAAGATGAATAGGGAATAGCGTTACAGGCGAAGCAATGTCACAGAGACCTTTCTGCTTGAGGGAAGAATGTAATGAAAGAACACATCTGACTGGCATCCCCTATTTGACTTAAATGACCCTCACCAAGTGCAATTAACAACTTCCATTACAAGCAGCCATGGCTGTTCAACATTATGAGATTCACCACTGTCAACGTAAACTGTCTATAATGGTGGCAACACTTCCCCCAGTCTCACCGCCGCTGTTCTCTGTATATTCACGCTTCGCTTCCTCTGCCCCGGCGATCTCACACGAACACCTTGGCGAGGCCGTCGGCACCGGCGCTCGCGATGTATGGCCGCGAAGGGTGGAACGCCACGTCGAAGATACTCTCATCAAATTTTTTACGATGGGCAGTGATCTCTTGGACGCATGTTTTGTTGTCCAGATTCCACAAGCGAATGCTACAATCATGACCTGCAATGCACACAATTATACAATTCCAGGATGCTGTGTTTGCATCTAGAGAGTATCAGTCTCTTTAAGGTAAGAAACATATCATATCCATCGCCCTGATGACGGAGGCAGGAAGACTTCTGAAACGTTGGTTAACATCGACCAGACTACACAGCGCAACAACCCAGAAGACAGAAATCTTCATACTCACCGCTCTGAAAACCTCAAATCTTATACATTATACGTAAAATACAGAATTTAGTGCGACAATAATTAATACTCACTCCCTGAAAGTAGATACAGCCCATTGGGGTCAACAGCCAGACTGGTAACTGAATCAAGATGTGCCACCATTGAATGAACCAATTTTCCTGTTGTATTGTCAAAGAATCGGATGTGCCTGTCTTCGTGCGCTGTAATGGTGAGTGGCAAGGTCGGGTGTGCCACCACGCAGTTGATCTGCCGACCCATTACATTGTTGTCCATCTCCTGAACAAAATGAATAACGGTGAAACTGAAGGTTCCAGTGCATGAGCAGGGTGGCCAAAAAAATCTCATTTTCTCTCACTGCAATCCTGAAGCTTGCATTGATATCCATAAAAATATTTTTAACCTGTGGTCATTCTTTCTTGGACATAATAAAAAGGCAAACTGGGCCCACTCCAGTTCCTAAGTAAGTATAAACCATTATCCTTGCCAGATACCATCTGAAGTAATCAATTTATTATGCCTTGTAGGTCTAAGAAGAAGAAGATTTTGTTACCAGAGCTGTTTCAAGCCGTACAACAGGTTTCCCAGATTCCAAGTCGTAGACAATACAATGGGCAGAATTATATGCTGCCACCATACGATTTGGTTCATCTCGGATGAAGTCCACTGAAGTTGGGGCTCCATCTACGCAAAAGTTAAAACCACGTTAATTAAGAAATTATATACCGCCGACTCTCTCATTTGATACCACACAGTCCGAATACAGATCAAGCTTCGCTGATCTATAAATCCTAACCAACTCCAAAGAACATAAAGACCCTTGAGAAGCTAACAGTACACTCAGGTCGATGTGGAACTCACCACCTCAAGGTTCATTACTGTGTTCACATGTTCCCGTCACTGGTCTGTGTCCTGACAGATGAATTCACTCCACGCCCATTTCCACACAACACACTTTAATACTATCCTCACACCTGCATCCACTCATCAGACTTCCCAATCCAAATTATGTACGTATTTCTATTTTCTCAAGTGCACCACATGCGCTACTCGGCTCATCCTTGATTTTCATAAACCTTTTAGAGACTATTCAACCTAAAGTTATATCGGATGATTACGATAAAGCTGAGAGAAACAATAAAAAATGCAAAAATATAACAACATGAATGACATGACATTTATCGCACGAGGCAAAGAGTTGTTAATTTCACGATGTACCTTGTTCAGAAACGTATGTGGAGACAAGTGGAACTTTGCTAGTTGGTGACCAGAGTTTAACCGTGCAGTCAGCCGAGCACGAAAGTAGTTGCAGACGCTGGCTGTGTATACTGAGTCCCCAAACAGCATCTGTATGCCCCTCCATGCTTCCTGTTAGCACTCCGGGATCTAAACAGAGAGAGGAGTTGTTACTACACAGCGGATGCTGAGTAATTACCACAAGCAGAAGACAAGATGATGAACGAGTTATGAAATGTACCGTAACTTACAACAATTTTCACGTGTTCACCAAAATCTGACCTTCACAAATCATGCCAACAAATCAGAATTGTCTGTGAGCAACGACTGCCGAACTCGACACCAAAACAACTATGTCCCTGCCAGCACATCTCAAAGCCCAAATTTTTGAATCACACGTAAGTAGAGGATTTTGAAAAACAAACTTTTCTTTAAAGATTTAACATTACAAACATACCAAATGAATCGTACGGATCTATATTGGCGCAAGGTAGGTTCCAGCAGTGGATGGCACCGTCCAAACCGCCACTGTAGCACTGTTCTCCTGTAGCACTCATTGCCAAACACAACACAGGTCCGGTGTGACACCGGAATGTGTACAGTGGCTCCACGTCTAATGAAGCTGACCTGCACAGAAACAACTTAACAGGTGGCAGAACAGCATCCTGATATATACATTATATTTCTGTAATTTTTAAAACCTCTGGATACCCACTGTTTTATCGACTAAGATCTCATAGATATTATGGGCTCTTAGTGGTTTCAATATTTCCCATCATAGCTTAAATCATGTGAAGCCAGGATGAAAAAATCTAAACAACAAAACTTGCATGTGAGTAAAGTTAATGAGAAATCAACTGCAGTGACTCAAACATTGATGAAAATAACAGTAATGGTTAATCAAAATTACTTACGACAACACAACGTTTAGAAGGAACATAACACGTATCTATTACAGACTAATTACAATAAATTCTCAATTTCTTTCTCGCTTTAGCCCTCTCTTGCACTTCATTATATTTGAATTATGTGACTGACATGAATTATGACACGCTGAGAAACAAACCAGTGCACGAAGACTGCGCAAAGGAAGTGGGCTCTACTGTTCCACATGAGGGACAGAACAGCAACATTAAAATCTGACAAAACGTACTCTGATGACAGTAATACTACTGCTCTTTCCATATTTAATCATAAGAGTGACACAAGTAATACTGAAACAACTTCTGACTGTAAAGTTGCAAAACTGAAGTACATTAAGGAACTAAACTACTGTCGAACAAGGCGAACCACTGCAGCGCAAAATTATTTTAACATCTTACTAGAAGCAGTATAAGTAATGGGATTTTACTATAAGAGTAAAAAAATACTCGCTCCGACTGGCCTTTAAACATCGCTCCGCAAAGCGTTACGAACAAGTACTCACTTTTTGGCAGGTACTGTCTTCTGAAGATTCCACAGTTTTAGTGTGTGATCTTCGCTTGCTGTAATGAGAACAGACTCCACAGGATGAAACGCGAGGGCTCGCACTCCATCAAAATGACTGCGAAGTGTGTACTTCGCATTCCACGTCTTTCTATACGACTCTTTTGTGGTTGCAATCTGAAAGACGAAGAGACAGGAAACATTTCAACATTCTTCGTACACAACTACATATTTTTTTCTTTTTTAGAGTTCTGTCTGACGACAGGTCCATATGAACAGGATCCTTCCATCCTTTTCTCGGACTGGGACCTGTTCATATGGAACTGTCGTTCCTGGGGTAAACTTTTTAAAACAAGTTTTACTCTACAGTTAACCTGTACCAAACCAGGCTAAAGTCCCTACTGTAGATACTAACAGCTCAATTAAAATTTAAAATCTAATTAATATAAGCACATCTGAGTATGCCAGCTCACAGCACATTTTTACGAAGAATACATTTCAGAATAAAGCACACACGATGACACTTTATAACAGTAATAATACACATACGTACGAATCTATGGTATAATGACACATTAATTAACGAGCGTACACTACCATGTCATGGCTCAGCCCACATACATGAACATTCAGAGTTACATCTTACATCATACGCAGCCTCTGCTTCATTGTTGACTGTGAGCTGTGCAAGTTCACCTAAGCCAAGAGATGAATCTAGAACTTCCTCATCTCCTAGGTCACCTGGTCCCATCTGTCGACGATGGCCCGCACCAGTCTGGAACCCCATACCCGTACTACCTGTTACAAATAATGAAATTATTATAAACAAACAAACAAAACAGCCTTGCACATGAATAAACTGTATCTGAACGAAACTTCGCATGCTTAACAAAATATGAACATAGAATAAAATCAATCCCCAGCACGAGCAAGGGATGTTTCTTTTGGCCTCTATATCGAGAGTGGCTCTGGAGCCCACCCAGCCATCTATTCAGTGGGTATCAGGGGTCCTCCCAAGGGGGGCTTGACGCTAACCAATCAACCCCATCTAGTGCTGAGGTCAAGAAAGAGTAGGGACTATACCTCAAGCGCCTACATGGCACGTAGCGGGACGGCTCTACTTCCTTATGGTTTTGCTAAATGTAATGTTTAAATTAATTGTACTCCAAGAAAACATTATGTGGATATTTCAAACAATTTCAAGTTTCAATACATTAAAGAGTTAGTTTTAGAATAAATCCTTAAATTAATTTAGATACAAGGTAATGCAGTCTCGTGTAAGTTCCTACCCCAATCGGCCGGATCTCCTTGTGAATGTATATCAGTACCAGAATCTTCCGTCTCAGTCAGAAGGTTCAACTCATTAAGGACTTCTTCAGCTTCAGCATCGACATCATCTGCTAAGCCTTCATTCAACATCAGACCCTGAAGAAATTTACACAGTCACTTCCAGTATCACGTGTTCTAAGGACCATATATATTATTGTGCGACACATCAGTAACTAAATAACGCACAGAAATGATTATCACATGTGTTTTTCCTGCACGAGGTGACAACTTCTGTTGTTATGAATGCTGCATACTTAAACGTTTAATGTGCATGCTACAGCTCATGTGACTCTAGTTTCAGGGCTTCATCTCTGACAGAGCCCTACGTTGGTCTCAGATAGTTCAGTTTACTTAACACAAATATCATTTACACCCAAGCAGTACTTGGAGCCACAATATGTCAGCAAGTTTGCTGCTGCCGAAGGAAGCCTGAACTAAATGTCCAATTTGGATCACATTGAAAATACTGTAGTAAGTTCGGAAACACGTCTTTCCACTTTAAACCTTTTACAAATCTAACCTTCACTAAATTAGTACAAGAACTTTCACTTTCCTTGAAATTCATGTCACACAACCAACATAATATTAAAATTCAAACATCTGGTTTGAACAAAATGATTCTCGGGTTACTTAACAATGCTGTTCCAAACGCAAACACATTACGCAGAGTCAAATATGATAAAAATGGATAAAATGAGAATTTAGGAGACAATTATAGCCTACGTAGGTACTAACCCATCATTCGACCGTAGACACTGAGGAAAACCATGAAAAATCCATCAGGATAGCTAACTGAGATTCAAACTGGGTGTCTTGTAAAAAAAAAAAAATAAGAGCTTTGCTGCCTCAAGAACTTCCTCGGTTCACCAAAGTGAACTGGCATTCCCCATGATCTACTGTGTTCATAGATCTAAAATTAATCACGATAAACGCATTCTCAGAGTTACCTTTCCCTTGCGCTTGGCTGTCTTAACATCATCCTGGTCATCGTCATCAGGTGGCTCCAGATCATCACTCATATCATCATCATCATCCATGTCCACATCAGTTTGGGACAAGAAATCAAAGTTTGCTATAACTGCAGCTTCTGTGTCTAAAATCATTGCTTCAGCTAAAGATGATGGCTGGGCCTAAAATGAAAACAGAACAGGTACACCACCACCACCACCGTCAATCGGCATTTCTGCCGGAACGGTCGTATTGTGAAAAATCTTCCTCTGCCCACATCTATCCTCCGTTAAATGCTCATTATCGATACCCATTTTCCCCTACTTTCCTGTACATCATTGCTCCACAATTTTGGGGCAGAAAATAATCGCCCACATCTATCCTCTGTTAAATACTCATTATCGATACCCCTACTTTCCTGTACATCATCGCTCCACAATTTTGGGGCAGAAAATAATTTATTGTTAACAAAAGAGTAACTTATAAGAGAATAACAAATTCTATTTACGTTGTAGAATTAAAGCGCACTGGAAATACTTGTATAAATTTATATAAAATGGGAGAATAAAATTAGTAAGCTAATAGGGAAGGGGAGGGCAGGTCTCTAGTTACGATAATAAAGTCGACGTGGCAAGAGAATAGCACCAAGGTGGACACAGTCTTAGCTCAGGTTAATAAACGATTTGATTGCTTGATATCCGAGATCTTAATTTTTTATATCATCAAAGTAATACTACTCTTAACACACTTCTGAACCTTAATTTGACCAACTTTCTTTGTACTGTTACACAGTCAGTCCTCACTACATGTCCTCGTCTTGGATTCATCCCTTTTGCTGATTTCTTAATATTAAATAGAAACATTCTATTGTTACTACAACAGTAGAATAATGGCTAAAATAATCTAATAATGACGGTAATAAAAGATGACAATGATATTAGTTCATACCTTTTTGGCGGGTGTCCTGCGACCCTGATTTTCACTAGCCCGCTTATTGGAGGATTCATTTCCATTGAGCGCCGCTACAACTGGAGCATTATTTAGATTCTCCTCACTTTCCGCATTATTGTTAAGACCAAGTAATGAGCGAACACGATTTGAACGTACGTCTATTATTGTGTCAGTATAACCAATTTCTTGAAGATACCTGTAAAAAGCACATCGATTTAAACAATGCGCAAAACGGTATTTATACCTCTTCATCTCTCGTCAAACCATTTATTACAAGACGTTTCACTGAAAATGGGGCTTACCAATATTGAATTTAATATAGCTTAAAATTTAACATGTTTACCCATAAATAGAAATGTTCAGAGAAGTTCAGCTTTTACCAAGAGAAGTTGCCATTCTAGATTGTCCCATTACACTGTCAAGTCAAAGTAAAACTTAGAAAATAAGTAATTAATATTCAATGAATCACTAACACTGTGTAGAATCATGTACTACCAACCACACTACAGTAATCTCGTGCTGGTACGCCATTTGGCCACAAATCTGAAAAAGGGTTTTAAACCCGGGAAATGTCTTCCAAAACAGAAATATTAAAATTTCCCCTTAATGCCATCATGTTTTATCTGTCTGCTGAAATGGTAAATCCACGTTACAACATGACATATTAACATAACATTAACTTACTGCCTGAGAAGCTGCCGTCCTTGCCGCCAGCTTACATTACTAACAGAAGTAAACGGCGCTTCTCCATCTACTGGAGCTTCTGGCCCTCCTGGCTCATCAAAAATTGGTGGTTTCATGTCACCCTGCTGTAACTCAGTCCCATATTTTAGCTTGTGATATTTTGCTCTAAAACATAGAAGAACATCTGTAAATATGATTTTGATTTAGGTAATATTTTCTTTCTGTATAATTAAGTTGTAATGAATCTCAAATGAAAGGTTTATGTAATTCCTTTAATGTTTTTGTTATTATGAAGAAACTGTTCCATCTATTCTCCATAAGAATATCTTAACATAAACTACTAAGCAGCACAACCAATATCCCAGAATGCTTGTAAAAATTATGAATGGGATTCAATGTCTTAAAACTTAAATATCACAATAAGATTTGTAAACATTTACAAATTTGTTTACTCAAAAAAGAAAAACTTAATTTTCATCACCACTTTACACGTGTTATGTAAAAAATGTAGCGTAGGACATAAAATATAAAACCTGATACCTCAACGCCAACATCACCTTCAAAGCAGACGCTGTGAAAAATTGGGTTCTGGTGGCTACGCTACGGCACTACGACCATTACAACTGGAAGTGCGCTAAATGCCACTACATGACAGAGGTCATGTTAAAGTCTACTTGTTAGGTTATGTCACTCTGGTAACTCTGAAAGCCATTGCATGCAGGTTGGACAAATAGCCACTAATACAGAAAAAGTTAAAAAATGTTCTTAATAAGTTTTTGTTTCAATCTGTATAATTCGCAAACAATAAGACTAACATATACAGATGTGTTTTCATTCAGGAGTGAAAAGGAGTGAAGATAATGATGGCAAGTGCTCAAAAAAAAACATTTTAAAAGAATTCCACATACTACCTCTTGCCAGAGTACTTACTGGTTATAACAACACAAATAACTGAAAACACAGGAAATGTTTCAATAAAACTCAGTTGTCGATAAGTCAATGTGAATATAAACCTTAATCTATTAATAAAGGATTCTACTATGCAGGGATAAAATGTATAATAACCTCCACCCCAAAATTACATGCTCATCTACAAACAGAATACAATAAAAGGTGGCATTATAATACTTCCTCTTGACTCACTTCTACTTCGTCAATAAATTTATACTACAGAATGATTAAAGTTCTGTAATGAAGAGTTTAATTATAAATCCTTATGTTCTCCTCTATGTATACAAACATGTATTAAGTTATTATATTACATTCCTTGTGTAAACACATGTTACAGTGAGTTCTTGTGTCATGTATACGATGTGTATATGAACAATTACCTTCTCAGATACAGAACCACTGTGAAGAGAACTAAAATCTATTGTAGTGTTCTTTGTTTTCATAACACGTTGTACTGTCCACGCTCAACATAACAATCATGGAATGCATGTCATCTGTCAACATTACCATCATATACACAATGCTATCACATTAGCATATTAAATTAATAAAAAATAAATATTTCTAAATAAATATCTGCCCTATAGATTTAAAGTACTATAAGTGAGTAGCTCGTGCTCAATTCCTGTACTTTGATCAAAACTTGTAAACATTACAAGTAAGACTTTGATCAGCATGACATTCAAACAAACCAACATTCCACTTAAAGAACAGTCTTAAAACAAATATGAAGATATAAATTAATCCAATGAACTTACCTTTCTTGCTTTAGTGCATACTCCAACATTTTTATTCGCCGAACTAAATCATTTTTTAAATTTTCTTGTCCTTTTCTTTCACCTTGAAGGAAAGCTATCCTGGCCTGTATAAAAAATCACAAGTTATATGCATACACTCTACGTTTTACACCAATAATAAACCAATCAATATTGACACAGACGACAATACGTTCTATATTAAGTGCACTGGCCTAAACATCATCCAGCTCACTAGGCCTAGTTTATTTGCAGAATCTTGACGCAAAATATTTTACGGCCATTCCCTTCATATGAAGAGCACCTTCAATCAAGTACAACGAAACGCGGGGTATTAAATAGCGAACAGTACAGAGTTATATCTTTATGACAATATTTACCTGTAGCTCGGCTCTATCAACTTCCCACTGTGACCTCTCCATCTCGAACCTTGCCCACTCATGTTGAATGAAATGCAATATACCAGGTATGGAGTATTGAGTTCTTTGGTTTCCTTCATCACTTTGCTTATTTCCTACATTAATTCCACCACTTGAAGGTCCCAGTTGTCCGTTGTGATTTTGTGATGGAGAACTATCTTCCATTGTGGGCCCACAGTACTGACTGGGTATCTTCATGACATGGCCGCCATTACAGCAACTTCGTGAGCTTTAACTAACAACTTAAGTCAAACAGATAACTGCCATCCTTTAATTTCACGCACATTTATAAAATCCATTAAAAAATTAAAATTCATTAGTGAAATTCAACAGTCCCTACAACTACCACTTTCAGTACAATGGTAAACCCTCGTTTGACTTACCGTGCACAATCAACGATCAGCATGGCCAGTTATATTTTTATTGCGGCCTTACATTTACACAGAGCGTTAATGCTAATCCATATGGAACAACCATTCAGTTCAATTGACCAGCACATTAAAAAGGGATATTTTGGTAAAGGGCTTAGATAAAAATTACAAAATACTGTATTTATCGATAAAATTTTTTATTTTGGTTAAAATTATGTATCATACACAATATTAAACCTCATTGAACTGTATACATATACAAAACACAATTTATATACCTTACGAAGATGTTAAATTCTTGGGATAATGTTGACTTTCATATTTTTAATGTATCATTTTGGGAAATTTCAGAAGGTGAATCACTTTTAGCTCCACATATTATTCAACCCCAGTTAAGTGAAAACCAGTTACAAGGCTTTCTTCTTTCTGTATATTTTTAAATATTTTACATACATCTGTAGGCCTAATGCATTTCCTGGTCTTCTACAATACATTACTTTCATCTCTGCATACCATAATAAATACTAAACAGAATGTTAGAATTAAAGTGTGTTATCTTTATTTTAACACTGAACTTGTTAACAAGTATTAGAACTTTTTAAAACTCAAATTAACCAGCCAACCATCCAACATTAAACTTCACATGAGTACAGATGAAAAGAAGTGTTGTTTTAAGAGTATAAGATACATAAAAAGTATGGCCATCATAAAAGAATTGTTATATGTCTGACCACACAACACACACTGTAATATAAATGTAAGGGCAGGATTCATCATCTGTATTCACAGAAATTCATCACACCAATCAGACAAACACTGGTAGCAATCACTCGATTGCTTACTACTTGCTCCGCACACATCTTTCATCCAGTCTTGAAATAATTCTTTGTTCTTCTTCAGTACTAGAAACTGCCCCAACACAACAGATGCCTATAAAAATAAACAGAACATGTACTACAACACTGGAAACCCAACAAATATTGAGCCTTTGTTACATTAGTAACTCATCTTACAGTGTGAGAAAGAAGTTTCCAAATGTTTAGAGCAGTATCCAACAATTTCTTAATAGCTAACACCCTTCTGATAATGAAACTGTAAATACTTTTGTTAGTTCAAAATTTTCTAAGTAATTTACAATATTACTTCAACAATTAATAGCCAGAAGAAATAACACACCCGGAAAACATGGATAAATAAACTACATGTGCAGTTATAAAGATGACAGAATTCTGTGATGTTCTGCTGTCTAGCCTGGTAGAAATTTCCCATTTGGCTGGACCATACCGCCTTTATCATTAAGATGGTGAGTGAGTGAGCTGTGTGCAAAAAGGTGTGCTGAGATATAGGAACAAGTCAGATTATGTAGAAGCTTGGCTGCACCAATGGTAAAAGGGGGAGGAGTGGTGAGAATGTTGATATTTTGGGTTGTAATAATGACAATCGAGGTAGAATGTTCTGCCAGAACTTTGGTAATTACCTACAAGTCCACACAGCACTATAATCAAAAAGGCCAACATCACTCACATCAACATACTGACATCCTGTTTTATCACAGTACGCAGCAAGAATCTAGAAAATCAATGGCATCTCTATATTCAATTCTGAAAATGTAAGACATTTTACATGTCACCAAATAATTTAAATGATAATAAAAAGATATGAAGTTGAAGATTTATGTCTTCTGGGTTGTTGCGCTGTGTAGTCTGGTCGATGTTAACCAACGTTTCAGAGGTCATACTGCCTCCGTCATCAGGGCGACCAGACTACACAGTGCAACAACCCAGAAGACAGAAATCTTCATACTCACCGCTGTGAAAACCTCAAATCTTACAAGATCTGAGGTTCTCACAATGGTAAGTATGAAGATAGCCGACTTCCTGGCTGTAATGCTGTGTTCTCTGATAGAAGTTTACCAATGTTTCAGTGGTCCATGATGCATCCATCATCAGGAAGTTCCACAGTGCATTCTGAACACCTCAAACTCTATCCACAACAATCAATTTAAAATGTAGTTTGTAATCATTTTCTCTGTAAAACTTTATGTTCCTGTTCTCAGCTCCCATGAACAGGACTTTGCAATGTTTGTCTTAAACCAGTCCTCCTTACAAAAAGACCTTTTGAAATACATGTAATGACTGAGCTTCAACACTGAACGAATAAAAGTAACAGTTCTACACCATTGGAATGAATGGGTTTCTTATACTCGCACCATCTTTCACGTCTTATTGAACTAATGTACTGGAACACCAATAATTAGTATATTCAAACCTTATCAAATCCTTGATTCTCCAGACGACAGCCAAGAACTTCTCCAACTCCAGCCAGATCTGTCACAGGTTTGTTACCCATTGGCTCAGCCACAAAATTTCTGTGTTTCTGTGTTGTATTTGACATCGTTCCCTAAAAAAGTAAATAAATATGCCATATTCTTCAAATCACATGTTACTTTGATGTTTTTTCACATTCGGCGACTGAAAGATGACTAATGAAATCGTGCCATGACAAATTGAATCACAAAATTAAAAACCCCAATTTGTCTTACACTTTTACAGTCAAGTGCATACAATACTAATTATTATGTACCTCACTTTAGAATTTATTACTCACAAGAAATTAAAATACGTCTGTAACAATCAATTGGCGCTAATACTTAAACTAACAGAAAAGGTACTGCAATCGAAAAGTATTCCCCAATAGTATGGCGGGTACGAAATTCCAATGCTGCCAGAACCATGTTCGTAAATTTTCCTCGTTGTGGGACACTTCCGTTCAGCGGTACCGGAAGTATAACTGATAAATATATTGGACGTACAACCCTTCACTTGCCTTAACCTGTAATACATAAAAAATTGACAGTGGAACCACGGTTCCGGAGACTCTGACGTAAATACGTCTCTGTAATGTAATGTAATAATTCTTATATAAGATAAGTACTTTTGACATTTTTACCAGCACAAAATTATCTAGTCTACGACGCACTTCTTCTACAAGCGATTCACAGCTCAGCTCTTTCTGCAATAACGAAAGCGGATTGTTGACGGCAGTAATGTAACACAACAATGCCGAGTAAACACGACGTAACATTTAGTTTCTTAGGTAACATAACAATGCACGCAGGAGTTCATATAAAAGCTGACCATTGTTGTCGGTCCATATTTACACATTGGTGATATGGATCTTACACGTTTTCCTTTCACTTTTTTTCCGAATAACCCTTCCGTATTTACGTCAAAACTTCACTTTGCACGGATGTTGGTAAGTATTATCTGTGAAACGTAAATATATTCTATTACATTCTAATATCTGAGGTTGGTAATTGGTGGAGGTGGCCATGGTTCAATATGTCAGCTGTTTCTTGGTGACGTATTGAGTGTATCGTCATCGCTTATGGTAGTTAGAGGATCGTTTGGAAGGTTTGATTATTTTAGTTGAATTTGTCTTTATTATATAATGAAACAATGGATATAAAGTGTTTCTGACGGACGATTATATGTCAGTAGCGGTTTCAGACATTCCACAATAAAGTTCGTCAACATTAACAATAATTGCAGCAGTGATTCGTTTTAAAGGTTATCGTTTCAACACATATTGATGTGTTAATTTGCCAATACTGAATCAAGAATAACTGATGTATGCTTGGTGGCCAGGAAATTTTGGATTACATTACATAATAGTAACAGTTCCTTCGGTTTTGTTTGCAGTATATACAAAGCCTTGGTAAAAGTTTTCAGAATTGCACTGTGCCCATGATCAAATGACAGCAAGGAGACGACGGGGTGGATCAGAGTCAGAACAGGCACCCCTTATTGTTACAAGTGGGGGCCCCTATTCTGTGCAGGACTCTTGGTCCCAACAAAACAATGCAAATCACCATGCAAGCAATGGAGCAGATGGCAAAGGCTACAGAGGAAATATAAAGGATATAACACCGAAACAGAAGGAAAATACACGAACAATGACGTCACGGGACAGAACCGCTGAATTTGTAAATGCAACCCGTTCCTTACAAGGACGTCATGTAGCAAGAACGGTGGCTGTAAGGGATCCTAGGAAAGCTAGATATATCCAGAGTTATGCAGAATTTATGTTGATTGCAAGGTACAGTATGATACATACAGGTCATGTTGTAGGATTAGTAAATCTTTTGTATGGGAAAGGATGAACTAAACTCGACAGTAACTTCACTAATCTGCAGCCTGAATTTGTGTTACTTGTATTTACTTGACATTCTCCTAACTTGTCATTAATAGTTTAATGTTTAAGACTATTAATATTAATCTTCATTACATAGAAAATGTTAATAACTGACAAGTGTAAGAATAATTTTACTAATATTAATATTTGTTTATTTTAATATATAATATTTCTTTTCAGGACTATAGGGAAAAATATCAGCAGTACATATACAAAACTGGAAAAGCTCACCTTATGTAAGTCATTAAATTCATCGACTGTTTGGACCATGACTTTAGAAATAGTTAAAATGTGCTAGCCACTTGAGAAAATCGATGTCTGAAGTGTACCTTAAAAGACGTTGTGTTCTGTTCCGCATCTTCACAAATTTATCATTTACAACACTTTTCCATCTGATACTATGTTACTTGTGTACATGATAAAGCATTGTTATAAAAATAAATTTTTCACCTCGTCAGCACGTGTCACTCTCCTTGGGTCATCGACATAAATAATTGTTTTAAATTTCAGTGGCAAAGCGGAAATCGCTTTTCAATGACCGGCCGACAGAAATACAGGAACTGACATACATAATAAAGGAGGATTTGAACAGCCTAAACCAGCAGATCGCGAAACTTCAAGAAGTGTCACGAAGTCAGAAACAGTCGCAGCAGAATGGTCGTCACCTTCAGTCACATTCGTCAAGTGTCGTTCTGGCTTTACAGTCCAAACTTGCATCCATGTCTACAGAATTCAAACAGATTCTTGAAGTTAGGACAGAGGTATTGAAAACTGGAGTTAAATCCGAGGTGGCTTCAGATGTAAAATACTTATAAAGCAAAATGCACAGTTCACATCTATGTACCCTATTTGTCATAGCCATTTTAATAATATCCTTCCATCTATATGTAGGTCACACCTTAAGGTTTCTCAAACACGTGAAACTATCTACACAGCAGTAAATAGAAATCATACATTTTTAGTAAAAAAGCAATTATATCCCTATTTTTATTAAGGACTTCTAAACTCTAATTGTATTTTATAATTTTTTTTATGGATAATTTCACCTGTATAGAACCTGAAGCAGCAGAAGAATCGCCGGGATCAGTTCTCGCATGGCCCCATCTCTTCATCGCTTCCTCCATCAGCTATATCAGGCCACCACCAGGGCTCTGTCCTGCTCGCTGAAGATGTGAGTGTGAACATGGAGGAACACAGTCCACTGCTTCCAACTGTTCAAAATCAAGCACTGATCTACGATGAAACGGTGAGATGTGCTGTAGTTCAAAGTGTACGGACATTCTTAAAGTGAAGAGTATGCGGATGTTCGGCTAAGGAAGAATAAATTGTAAATTATTTAAAATGTCATTTATCGCGCAAGTGGTAAGATTTAATTCCT